ATGCTAATGTAGTCTGTAAACAATTAGGATATCTACCAATGGGTTTGTGTATTATTAATGTGATTAGTAGTCTAGACTTTTATTCTTATATAGGTGGAAGAGCAAGGTCTGGTAGCGATCATTTTGGTCCAGGAGTTGGTCCAATACTGATGGCTAGTGTTGATTGTACTGGTAATGAGGAATCATTAATAGAGTGTAGGACAAGATCATGTGATGCCACTACTTGCTCTCATTACAATGATGCTGGGGTCACCTGTGAACGTAAGTAAAATACACTTTATTATTAATATTAATCTTTTATTCATAACAGGTAACTGTACTGATGGTGAGATTAGGTTAGGTGATGATGCTGTCCTAAGGGGAAGAGTTGAAGTGTGTATTAATAGCATATGGACTACAATCTGTGCTAGCTATTGGACTGACAAAGAAGCTACTGTAATTTGCTCTCAGCTTGGATACTCACGCTATGGTACATTGATTACAAAATTCGAAAGGCCTAAACATATCTATGCATGCATATACAGGTGCAGTGGCTACTCGTGGGATGTTTATTGATTATGAGTGGCCAATTGGCATCTATAAACTAAACTGTACTGGAGATGAAGCAAACATATGGAACTGTATGTATCATATGAATAGCAATACACATGGACTTGATTGCTCACGAGGCACTGATGCATCAGTATTCTGCATGTGTAAGTAAAAGTGGTAATGCTGCTTTTAATTTAAATTCTTTTCCAGTTAATAATACACAGTATGTTAATTGTACTAATGGTGATGTTAGACTTGTTGGAGGTGACATAATGAATGAAGGCAATGTACAAATATGCTATAATAATGCATGGGGATCAGTATGTGATAACCAATGGGACACTAGTGACAGTAATGTGGTATGCTATCAATTAGGACTACAACCTTTTGGTAAAAATACTAGTTATAATGCTAACTTAATATTATTATTATACTCTTGTTATTATTTTACAGGATCACAACCTTTTACTAATAATTATTTCAGTGTCAGTGACAATCCTTCATTTGTGATTGGAGCCTTATCTTGTTCAGGATCAGAGGAATCATTGTTAGATTGTTCAAGGCACACAACTTCTGGTGCATCAATAAACTGTCAGAGTTATGAAGTTGCTGGAGCTCGCTGTATTGGTTAGCCAATAATTAATTAGACAATTTTGATTTTTAGGAATAGGAAG